AATAGCACAAACATATGAAAATTTCTGCTTACAACACTTCCAAGCGGGATAACATGATCTAAATCCAACTTTAATCCTATAAATGTTCCATTGTTTTTAGTACCAAACCTCTTTGTTAAAGGGGAACCGCTCAATCCCATGGATTGCACCAAAGAATCATGGGACACTATTGTTTATGTTGTTTACAATGTTAATCTATCTTTTGTTATCCATTGTTATTTTAATCCAGAAAGTAAATTTGTTGTGAAATTAATCTTAACTGGAAGGTGCCCCTTTAAGTACAGCAAAAATATTCATCAGTGTTTGTGAGCTCTTTTGTGATTGGTCAATGCATGGACAGCTCTTCCAATTCTATGTTTTACTCCCTATCAATTTGAGCCATGATTTACTCCGGGTTATGTTCAAAGGGCTGTAGGAGAGTTATGATGAGCACTTGAAAACTTCCAATCATCATTGTCTGAAATATTGTCTGTCTGCTCGCTCGCATTGTAAATACATGGCTGTAATCATATTGTTGAAACGAAGTAGCAGCCCTGGATTCAAACGGAACACAGTCCACTCTATCAGCTTGTTGTGGATCATTCACGTAACAAGAGGTCATAGTTAAGGTGCATTCGCGAAAGATACTTTAGTGTTAAAACAACCATTTCGACAACTCATGTGGCAGTGATCAGTGTTTGGACAAGTTTTCAGTGTTTTTAATAAGCGAGCGAGAAAAGAAAGGGATAAAAATATGATCATTTTCCGGTCAGAAATTAGGCGGTTGATAAAAGTTGGAGATTAGGCAAAATGAGTACTGTTGCCTGATTATAGCTTGACATGCGTCACCAAGTAAGGACATGGTAGGAGTTGGTACCGGTAGTATACACAGGAAGGGAGTCCAGAAAGGAACAGCAACACCCTTTTTACAGGGAAAACGTGAAATCTCGACAGATTTTTTTCGTTCTTGCATGTAATATTAGGTAGATTTGGCACTTGAGGTGGCTGATAAGCAGTGTCGAAAAGTGCACAAAATGACCAGTTGTAAGCAGATATTTTTATATGATCTATACTTAGATGGATTCAATTTTTGCTGAATAGACTTTTTGGGTGTTTTGTATGGAAGTTATTTTCATTGATTTTTGACAAGTTGAATGTAAAGTATAGGAAAAAGGTATTTTTGCTGGATATTTTTTTCACTGAATTAATTCCAAGCGAAAAGAAAGTATTCAACAGTACGATATATGTAAATATATTTTTTAATTGACCTAAAGGTATGAATGATAATTAGCAATACCGGTAATTGCACAATTTGAAAAGCTTGTGTGCATATGATGTAGAAAACTATTTAACTTATTATTTGAATTTAATAAATATGAATTTTTTAGAGTACGCAAGAAATTACCGTAGTTATATGTAGAATTTAATGATATCTGTTTTTTTACCTGTAGATTCTGTAGAAGAGCAGCGTACTCCAGCATCTTCATTATGTCCACAATCGTTTTCTCCCCACGCATGTTGACGACAATTGATTAATTCTGCTTCATCTCCAGCACAATCCACTTCATCCATCAATATATTACCTGTAATAATCATTGTAGCAAAGTACAATTTAAATAAGTCATCAACAAAATGTACAAAGTAAAAAGTAGAATCATGTTTTTTCTTTGTCATACAGTCCAAACAACTGAAAGCACCAAAGTCAGATGATAAAATGAGATGTATAAAATACTATAACTCAAGTTGGCTGCTCAACAACAACAACTTAAAAATGTCATAATCACTTAATTAATTTAAAGTTTAAATTAAATAATTTAAATGAATATCAAAACGGTAAAAATCATAATGATAGAATAAGTGTTTTCATTTCTCTTGATAAGATATTTTATACCGGTACTTGTTAATTGAACCTTAAATTTTTCACACCAGATGTTAGTCATTTTGGCACTTTTTAATGTATTTTTCTAAAAATGTCTTGTTAATTTTAAAACAAATTAACATAATTTACCCATAGGTAATGACAGTTGTTTTTTTTATAAAAAAAAAACCCAAAAATTATTTATTTTATCTATTTTAAAACAGATGAACAATTTGACCATGGTATTCAAATGGCAAGCCGACCACTTCCTGCGTAAAAAATCAGCTGCTGATAAACTGAACAAAAAAACAGTTCCATCTTGCTGGGCAAAACACGATTTGAATAGATATCTTCATCAATGGAGGAAGAATATTTAAAATGACCATATGACTTGTATTAACACGTTGGTGCTTGTTAAATGTTTGTTCAAACACAACTGGTTTGAGTTTTATGAATTGAGGTTTCCAAGCAAAACTGACTACATGCTTGAAAAGGTAATACAACAAAACCATACATTTTCACTGACATTTAATTTCACCATTATGTTTTGATCATATTCACATATTCCACCAATTTTTCAGGGAAATCAGCGAAATAGCAAAATTAAAATCCAGTGAATAATTTATGCATTAGCAATATATGCTGGATGGTCCTTGAATAAATTAAAGGGCACCCAAACTTGTAACCAATCAAAACGGTGTACAAAGGGAAATGATTACCACTCAGGACATTTCTAGATGGTTGTGTGCCACATTAATATTGGCATTTTACTTATAGTTTATATTTCTTCTTATCATAGCGGCAACAATTCAATGTTTTACAGAGTCATTGATATTAAGCTGGAAGAAATGCCAATTAGATAAATTGAATTTTTCATTATGATATCTGTATGTGACTGTCCAGCTTTAATAGCAAGAATTACATTGCCATTTCCCTAAGTGTGG